CCTCTCTTTGTTCAGGCTCCCTCTCGCTGCCTGTCCACCTCTCCCTTTCCCTCTCTCACTCTCTTCTCTTGGGAAAATTATGATGACCAAGAATAGGTCACATTGGCAATGCAGCCATGGTCCAGCCGGGGATTACAGTGTGCTGACAAAGGCCAACAATAAATACGGCCTGCAAGAACAACAGGTGTCAGACAAGATTGTTTCACTTTAACAAAAGCCCCAGAGAAATAATACATTAAGCTCTTTTAGCCACGTTAGCGCTGTGCTCCCTAACACCGTGTGATTGCCACAGGTCTTCTTTCAGCTCAACTATTATTCTCACAGGGCTCAGATGTCACTGGGATGGCAGGGCTGCTTGTGATGTCACCAGATCAATAGTCTTGGCATGAACCGTGCAGGACAGGTTGAAAATTCACATCAGATGTTTTCGCTCTGATTTATTTAGCCATACATGGGCTAATGGGCATGCAGCTGGGGGACGGAGTTTTTGAACCCAGGGCCCGTGGTGCTGGTGCCAGTCTCTTTCAGCCCACTATAAAGGCACCACTGGTTCTGTTAGTATGCCAGCCGGATCGCCAACGGAGCGAGTCAGCCACATCCTCCATCTGGGTCTGTGCCACCAGTGGGCACCTGGACCCACTTGTGAACTCATGAAACGGAATGCATATTTAACACAGAGGAATGCATTTATATTCTATCAACATGTCTAAAAGTCAGCCCAGAGCCCGAGGACACCTCCATCCGTCTTATTTCCGACACTTTTACCTTGGTGTTGAATGCATCGTGGTGCTTTCAAACAGGCAGGTTCCCCATGTTGGCGGCGCCGCAGCCGCTGGACCTCGTCCAGACACAGGAGGCAGTGAAAAGACAGCCATGGTTATCAAAGTCTAACAAGGTGACTTTGTGGGGATCTGATGATGACCACATCAGCAACACATGCAACATTTATGTCTTGCTGGCAGCGATGGTCTGATCCCATTTCCTCTATGCATCTCTATTGGCATGAGCACGAGGCAGTGTAGCCTGAAGTGGCTGTTGAATGACCACAACAAGAATGTAAAATTGGTTTCTCCACCAACCCTGACACTAGTTCAGTTGAGACAACTAGATAACGGGGGCTTTTCTACCTTTTGGTTTACTGTCCTGCTGTGTAACTGCATTTTATTTTATTTTATTTTATTTTATTTTATTTTATTTTATTTTATTTTATTTTATTTTATTTTATTTTATTTTATTTTATTTTATTTTATTTTGCAACATCTAAAAAAAATTAAAGCATAGAACTAGGTGCATTAACCCCTCTTTATTTACATCCTTGTTTCTTATCTTAACAAACTTCATAAATATTTTTAATTTAATGCAATATTTTTTACTGCAAAAGTTTCCAGCCATTCCAGTCTATAAAAATTACAACTTTTTCAAAGGCAATGTTTTTTATAATTAAAACATTTCAGTTGTTTGGAGTCTTATAATTCAGAGACTGACATAGAATAACCAAACTCAGAGCAAAGTACAACAGATATTAATGAGCCTCTGTCTGATGTCGTCTTGGGGGAGAGCTTTAATATCGTCACTGGTGGGAGTGTGGACTCCAGATCAATCAGACTGCCATCCCATAGTGCTGACAGCCCTGATTCATCATGATTACTCCACAACAGTACTGGCTGTACAACACGTTTGTGTGGTGCTCCACAGAAGCCTGTAGCAATGGCTGTGTGCAGGTGAGACCCAGATAGGCTGCTCAGTGGTACTTCATCACCCCGCTTGTTGTTGTCATGGCTACAATTGGTTTGTGCTTTCCATCTGCTGCATCAGCAAAGTCGGGACTGATTTGGTCACTCGGAGCACAGTGAGTCCCGCTCGCCGCACTGGCCCGTCGATTCTGAGCCATCATTAAAAATGGTACGGTTAGGTGGTTGAGTTAACCCGGATAAACCTTCCCCCTGGGTGCCTTTTTATCTATTCATCATGTTGTTCTACTTTATTTCAGGACAGATCTGGCTCCTTTGCCACCGATCTAACTAGAGACTCCTGGCATGTGGCCTGGGGGTAGAGATAAGTCGATTACAGGGTAGAATTAATAGGAACCGGAAAAATATCAAAGTGAATGTCTCTGTTAAAAATGAGTCTGCATTTCTATTTTTGTCTTTGTACCGGATATGTCTCCAAAACAGACTCAGCCATATTTACTAAATGTTTTGTAGGGTCGGGTTATTACACACAGCATAAAATGAACCACAGTAAGTTCTACAGCAGAAATATTAGCATATTAGCTGGATTACACTCTAAGACAGACATTGGCAAACTGTGGCCCGGGGACCAGATGCGGCCCGTTTTACTTTTTAATCCGGCCCACCAAACTTGTCCAAATGATGTTATTATTTTTTATTATGATTATACTTCTGCCTTTTCCCATCAATGCTTGCATTTCTCCACAGATAGGGTAGAAAAGGCTGGAAGCATGTTAGCATTTTAGCCCTTATGACTTCTACGTGTCATTTGTTTTAGTTCATACAAACGCTCTGTCCATCTGCTCCTGACTATACAGTAATATGAATTTTGTTAGAGTTCACATCTCAATATTGACATTATTCATGCATATAAACAAACTGTGTGTGTGTGTGTGTGTGTGTTGTTCCGTTCTCCAAGTTCCCCTGAGTAATTTGCATTGCTAAGTATATCCCTTGTGCCACCTGGAGCTTTGTGCTGAGCTGTACTGCAGTCAATTCCCAGCTGGACATTCATATGTGACATATTGTCAATTTTTTGACAAAACGCACCTCCACCTCCGCAGACTCCAGCAGCTAGGGGGCATAAACGGGGAATATTCACCTGAATCTGCTGAAAAATGGATGGTTATCAGTTCAGATGAACGCTGTTTGGTTTATTTGTGTCTGATCTAAATGATGGAATTTTTAATATGGAAAAATGTCAAGAAAAACTGCTAAAGTATAACTCGAAATTTAACTTCCTAGAGTTGGTGGATTGAAGTCATGGCCGTGCATTTCAAAGGCACCACAAACAATATTAACCAGTATACAGTTCCTCATAATCTAAAATTGTGTCAGTCAAACCAGGGGTCTGACCTGAGGTCGAATCCTTCTGAGAACGCTTACTGGGCGTTGAGATAGCAGTTTCAGTTTGAAGCGTTTTGGGGAAACTGAAATTTTTTCCCACACTGTGTATATGACAAGTTTGTCAACTGTGTTTTACAGCCATGATGAGTGGTTGGATGGTGGCTTTATTGGATGTCCAATACACATCATTTTTCTAATGCTTTAAATTCTCAAATTAATTAACTTGGTTAACGCATTAATTTTCACACCTCTAATATTTCCGTCTCATCTCCTCCAAAGAGGGAGATTGTTCTTCATGAAGAGACCAGGGTGTCGGCCGTATAGATTCTCTGGGCCTCAGGTCCTGGCAGGTGCTCCGTCCACTCACCTACTGCAGATTCCTGGGCAGCAGAGCCGTACATCATCTGTCACTGCCAGCAGCCTGAACAGTGAGGAAGGAACAAAGTAATAATGGTATATCGTGAACCTGAGTCTCGGCGGCGGCTCGTACAGAGTCATTACAGCGGCACATAATCAAATGAGCATTCTCCAAACCAGATCATTTTTGTCACCCCCGAGGACAGTTCTCAGGCTGAATAACTCATCATCATTTGGCTGCGAATGGGACTCAGTATTAAGGTGTCGTGTGAACGTGAGACGGATTGTGAATCCCATTTTCTTGTAATTCAAATCTCAAGCTGTTTTCACACATCTGTTCCTCGCATGGAAAGTTGGACTCATTTGGAAGAAAAATGCCCCCTCTTAGAAAGAGAAGTGTTTGATGAAGATTCACGGCTGCCAGGATTATGATGAAGTGCTGGATGCCGGCGTGTTACGCAGTAACTATGTCATGATGACATCTCCCTGTCACAAACATAAGCACCGTTTCCTCTCCTCTGTCTTCCTGCTCTCTCACCATCTGTCCCTCCATTGCGTTTTCAGGTAACTGCAGTATTGTTGTTAACTCATCACAGGAGACGCACATGCCATACGAAGCCACGCCATTGGTCGATTCACCGGCATGTCTCGGAAGCCTTGCGTTCAGTGCCACACCAAAATCTATTTACATATGAAAGGAATGCTCCGATGGCTACAGTTGAGGAGGTGTCATTTTTCATGTCAACAGCAGATAGCAGCACACTGCCGTCCTGCTGCGTGTGAAATTAGCTGTGGCACACAAATATATACACAAGCCGTAACAACACAGTTCCAACTGAAGCTTCAGATCTCGGGGAAACAGTCAGAGGCAGAGACGTGACAGTAGGTTTACACAGACACGTACAGTAGAGTACCAGGGTAACGTGTACTACACAGTCACACAGCTGCAAGAATGGCAGCGCCTCCTAATCACACACTGTATATAAAAAGAACACTCTGCGTCCATCGCTGGTGTCCAGTTCAACAAACACACCATTCAGCCTGTCATTCATAAGCGTCGGTGTTTGAAGCTCAGCTAACAGGTCCTCACTGCTGGGAACCAAGGGTCTATATGAACGGTTTAAGTCATGACCTATGACCCAGTCCAAAGACATATGTGATATATTAAATTATGAGAACAGTTGTCGTCATAATCTGTATATGGTATGTACTTTGATGATTTTCTCATTAGTGAGTAGTACTGTCTCATTATAATGAGATACTATGTCAATAACAGGTAACCTTTTTTAGTGTTTTATCAGAGTTTACAGATTTATAGAGTTATTATCAAAACAATCTGATTATTATGAAATTCTTTCTCATTATTGGGTTGATTATATAACCAACACAGACTTCTACAATGACAAACAGAACACTACTACTTCATCTGCTGCTTTTGTAAAAATGTGTTTTTGTGTCAGAGACATGTGGATGAGACTAAATCACTGGAGAGCGATTGAGAAACCTAATGGAATGTTCCATGACCTTTACATTCATAGAAATTATAGAGGACTGACAGACTGACTGACAGACTGACAGACAGACTGACAGACAGATCAGAACTATAGAGGAGCCATTAACCAAAGCCCAGGTGTTAAATATTTCAACTATTTTAATTGTGCTGAACTATCTGGATTTGTAGCTTCAGAAATGAAGGTAAACAATCTGATCCACTGTGTGAGACACTGTTGTAAGCTGGGTTTCCAGACTATGACATCATGCCAATGACCTCAGCTGATTGAACCCAACCAGTGTCCTGTCCCGGGCCCTGCCTCTCTGCAGTGGGTGGAGTGACCGGTTCTATCTGTAGACTTGAGAAGTGACAGCACCAGCTGGGGAATGAAATCCTGTAAGACTTGGTGTGAGGGGCACAATGACCGCTCAGACTCAGCAGCCATTGACTACTCCACTCAGGGAAAACCAAGTCCAGATTCACTGAACGTGAACGTCCTGCCAAACATCAGGAGGTTCGCACACAGAGAGCAGTGTCAGTGAGACCCATCATGTTTGATGAGGGGCGTTCAAGACCCCTGGGGATTCAGAATTCATTTTCTTCAGAGACCGTCTTCGAGCTGAAGCTGCCGATGGTTGCGTTAACTGTTTGGTGACGTCCTGCTACGTGAGACCAAACCAACAGCGCTGTGAAGACGATGGGAGGAAAGCAGTCTCGCAGTTT